AGTTAACTTTTACTACTACAGAGGCCACTTGAGGTTTTGGTGAGAGTAGTTTCAGTGGAGTGCAAGGGGCAGAAGCTGAATTGTGAGGTTGTGGTATGGAATTGGAGAAGAGAGATTCCAGACATAAATGGCATACTCTGATTTAGAAGATGAAATGGGGAAGGGAGATGTGGAGAATAGTTGAAGTAAATGGGCTCAAATGTGGGGTTTTTAAGTTGAAAAACTAAATCATGCCTGTATTGTGAGTAGAAAGAAGAGGATGAGAGAGAAAAGAAAGAGTAAAGGGGTAGGGTTTAGCATGGGCCTAAAAATGGGATGGGCTCACTGGCTGTATTAGAGAAGTAAAACAGAAAAACTTCTGTTACAGGAGCAAGAAACCATTGTACAAGTTAAATAAAGGCAAGTTGAGGGGAAGTTAAATAAAGGCAAGGTGAGGGAGGGAAATAGTTGCATGATATTTTCTCAGTTTTCTTTTGGAAGTAATTTTTGAGATATTTTGAAGAGAAAGAATTGGAGGCTGGAGTAGGGGAAATCTTGAGGAATGAATGAGGCAAAGGATGTTAAAAGGTTTCTACAGTTATGGCATAGGATTCATTTAAATTGAAGAACAGAGTTTGTTATCAAGGAAAAATGAAAGAACAGAAGGTGGAAATAATACACCTGTGATGGAGAAAGTCAGGCTGGTCACAAGATTTCCTCCTGAAGTTCTTTGTCTCATGAGAGCAAGAGAAGAGAAAGTGGGGGAAGGAGAATTCTGCAGCACAAAAGAGCAGTGTGGTAAGAGCTGCAGGGGAATGGGAGCAGGAAAGAGTTAAAGAAAAAATTAAAAAGAAAAATGTTGTTGGTAATACTTATAGCAGGACCAGGACAAAACAGCTAGACTATTTTGCCCTATAGAGAGAGAAGAAATTAACTAGACTACACAGTCAAGAGGATCTGAGCATATAGACCTAGAATTTTGAAAAGGGGGGTGTATCACCAGGATGGCTGATCTACTGGGCAGGGCTTTAAACTTACTTTGCTGGGGGATGGGGAAACTCCAAGCGAACCATGCCTGGGGACTGGCATACAGGAAAGCTCCCTTGTGGAGGACACTAGCACAACTGTTTCTGAAAATGCTAACCAAACAGTTCTCCCGCAGGATCTCAGAAAAACAAGAGTGTCAGTTGAGGGCCTCAGCTGCCTGTATACCAATGCCAGGAGCATGGGGAATAAGCAGGAGGAGCTAGCCCTTCTGCTCTCTAGTGGGCAATATGACCTGGTAGGGATCACAGAGACCTGGTGGGATTGCTCGCATGACTGGAGCATAGCCATAGAGGGCTACAGCCTGCACAGAAGAGACAGAGTAGGTAGAAAAGGCAGAGGGGTGGCTCTGTACATGAGAGAGCAGTACGGCTCTCTGGAGGTTGACATTGGCTCCATAGATAAGCAACTTGAAACCCTCTAGGTCAAGCTACGGGGGGCAGGCGGGCAGGTGGGCGAGGTGAGAGAGACCTAACTGTGGGCATTTACTACAGGCCACCAAACCGAGGGGAGGAGCTAGATCTGGAGTTCTCTCGAGAACTGACAGGCCACATACGCAAGGGACTTGGTAGACATGGGTGACTTCAATTACCTGGACATAGATTGGGAGGAACGCTTGGCTAGGTCGGATTGTTCATGCAGTTTCCTGACTGCCATCGAGGAGCTCTTTCTGACCCAGGAAGTGCAAGGGCCAAGCAGAGGCAACACTGTCCTGGACTTGGTCTTGGCCAAGGGAGATGATTTGGTATGTGACTTGAACACTGTGGGTAACCTGGGCGACAGCAACCAAGAAATTATCAGGTTCACTGTCTGCTGCAAGGTCAACAAGTCAACTAGAAGGATTGAAGTCCTGGACTTAAAGAATGCTGACTTCAACAGGCTCAGAGCATTAATAGGGGAGGCAATGAGGGACCAGGAAGAGAAGGCAGATGGGGTGCATGAAGAGTGGTCATCGCTCAAGGACACAATCCTCGAAGCACAAAAGAACACTGTTCCTGCAAAGAGGAAAGGTAGCAGGAGGGCTGGCAAGCCTTCCTGGCTTAATAGGGACGTTGCAGTCCTCTTGAAGTTCTCCTGAACGGATCCATGTCATCCTGGCGCAAAGTGGCCAGTGGTGTCCCTCAGGGGCCCGTGCTTGGACCAGTGTTTTTCAACATCTTTATCAATGATTTGGATGGGGGAGTGAAAAGATCACTGGCCAAGTTTACAGATGACACCAATTTATGGGGCAGTGTGGCCAAGCCAGAAGATAGGTTGCTGATACAGGTGGACCTGGGCAGGTTAGAGAGATGGGCAAGCCAGAACCAGATGAAGTTTAACACTTCCAAATGTAAGGTGCTGCATCTGCGGGCAAATAACCCTCAACATACATACAGGCTCGAAGGTAATAGCCTGACCTGTACCATGGCTGAAAGTGACTTAAGGGTAATGATTGACCACCACATGAACATGAGGTGTCAGTTCAGTGTGGTGGCCAGCAAGGCAAACAGCACCCTGGCATGTGTCAACCGATGCATCTTGTGTAAAACTAAGGAAGTGATACTCCTTCTGACCTCAGCGCTGGTGAGACCATAGTTGGAGTACTGCATCCAGTTCTGGGCACTGCACTACAATAAGGATGTGGAAAAACTTGAGAGGGTCCAGAGAAGAGCCACTTGTATGATCAGGGACTTGCAAGGCAAGCCATATGAGGAAAGGCTGAGGGGCCTGGGCCTCTTTAGTCTAAACAAGAGAAGGTTGAGAGGGGACTTGATAGTGGCTTACTGCTATATCAGAGGAGTGCATCAGGAACTTAGTGAACAACTGTTCACTAGAGCACCCCTGGGACTAGTGTGCCAGGACCAAAGGATATAAACTCCTGGAAGGCTGCTTCAGACTTAATACCAGGAAAAACGCCTTTACAGTCATGGTCAGGGGCGACGTGTGGTGGTGCACCCCCTGTAAAAAGGCGCAGCTGACAGTGTCGCCGCTCACCACCCTGCCACCGACACTACTGATGGCATCTGCAGGCAGCCCGCAATCCCCTCTGACGCTGCTGGCGGCAGCTGTGGGTGGTCGCAAACCCTTGGCCGGTGTGTGCTCCCCGCCCCCCCCCCATGCTGACAGCACCAGTGGCGTCTGTGGGAGCTCCCCCGCTTACCACCACTGTGCTTCCGCTGTTGCACTCCTGCCATGCCCCACCCCACCCATGGGGGGCATGCGCCGTTCATGGTCAGGGTGTTCAGACTGTGGAACAAACTCCCTGGAGGTTTTCAAAAGAAGACTGGATAATCACCTCACTGGGGTTACTTGACCCCAGTTGTCTTCCTGCCTAGCGCGGGGAGACTGGACCCAATGATCTGCAAGGTCCCTTCCAGCCCCTAACAATCTATGAATCACATACAAAACCACATATTTTTCTCCAGTGAAAAATAACTAGAAACTTTACTAATTCAATTTAAGATTGAAACAGAAACAAATGGAATAGGTTAACAGTCTGCAGAGCTGTGAAATAGGAGCTTCAGGAGCAGCTAAGGGAGAGCAGAATTGCAGAACAAAGGCTAGCTTGATTTGGTGAAAAATCAAAACCATGAAAAGAAGAGAGGGTCATTAATACCTGTGGAGTGAAGCCTTTAAGAAGGAATCAGGTAAATTATAATGAGCTACAAAATCAGTTGACTCCCTTACCCTGCCTGACTAGAAATGCTGCTGCTGTTGCCAGGCAGTTGGTTTAAACTTTTAGTGGACCAAGAATCAAAGGGGGTTGCATCCCCCCTACTCCCGCTCCCATCTGCCCGGATAGCATGGTTCTCCTCCCTATACAGACACTGAGTGCAGTATAGAAGGGGAGAACACACCAAGAACGTTTCCTCCTCTGTCATCTCTTTGGCTTGGAAAGAAGGTTGAAAATAAGTACGGAAGATACAGCTGCTTTTTTTTTTTTGAGGGAGATAACATCATGAATTTGAGAGGGTGACAGCACTGACAAATTTCTGGTGGTTGGAGATTCACACTGAATTTAGTGAGGAAGTACAGAGAAGGGGGAATGATCTCAGATAATTATTTTTTAAATGTTGTTTATTAAGTATCTCTGGTCTGTACTATAAGTACTAGGGATAATATATTAGGGCATTGTTTTGGGGATATGTGTAAATTTGATATTTCACTTAGTTTGAATGAAAACATGGTTATAGCAGCTTGGTTTAACATCTCTAATAACTACTAGTGTCATGAACGACTGCTCAGTTATAATGTATTTCAGTACTGTTGACCAAAGAGGAAATGGTCTTCACACTCTAAATGGCAAAATCATAATCATCCAATGTAGAAGCAAAAGTGTTTAGCTACTACCTGATCCTCCCAATTCATGATGATTTATTTTTGTTGCCTTTCTCAGCTTCTTTCTTGACAGCACATGAGGAAAATAAGGACAGACAAACAAAAATTCATACAGTGCATCTCCCAGATCAAAATCAGGTTTCTTAATAAGTTAGCCACAAGTGAAAAAAGAAATAACTTATCTGATTGAGGAATTTTTCAAATGGAGTTGGAAAGAAGGATGTTCTGTATACAACAGTGGTTTTAGTGGCACCGTATCATTTAATAAAAAATGGGTAAACCTATAATATTAAAAAGAAAGTTGATCATCCCCCTGCCATTTAAAAACAGATTTTTCTACCATTGTTGACAGGCTGCAAACTCTAAATCATGATTTCTGCACTTTAATTATAACACCCAACTATCTAAAAATGTCTGGTTTTAAAGAAATGCTATAAAATAAGTGCAGTCTGTTAACTGTAGATAATATATATATGTGTGTCTTTTTTAATGGTTTTTATTTGATTTTTTTCAGGGAGCCTGGTATAATAAATTACCTGAACACATGCTATGTCAAGATTTCTGTCCGAAAATGCCACTTGTGAACTATAAGTTTTAAATATTTTAGTAAGTCTAAAATGTTTCATGTCGTACTTATAAAAATTCTGGTTTTTTTATAGATTACCTTACTCAAGGAATAGATCTATCTGGAATAGAAGTAATTGAAAATGACCTGCTTTTTATCGCCAGAGCTCGACTAGAGGTTGAAAATCAGGCTAAACGTTTGCTTGAGCAAGGCGTAGAGACTCAGGTAAAAAGCATTTTGTTTTCTTTCAAAAGCAAAGAAAAGTGTTGAAGCTAATTTTGTTTTGTTTGTTAGAGGATTTTTAAACTGAGAATCCAAGTCTATAGGAAAAAAAAAGTTTCTTTATGAGTAATTCTCAGTTGCATAAGAACACCTATGGAAATGAATGGGGCTAATTACAGGAATTAAATTTACTCACATAAATAAGATTTTACAGGATCAGGGCCTGAAAGCTTGAGAAAAATTATATGAGGGACAAGGGTTTTTTATGGGTGAAATCTTATTAGACCAACTGCATGGTTGGGATAGACTTAGCCAGGCTTTTGAATGCAAGTCATTCTTCATCAGGTTCCTCTTGGGCAGAGTCAGACTGGGAAGGGCTGTGGCAAAAGCAAGCGTTTCTGCTTCCTTTAGGTTTATCAGATAATCATAATTCAGGCAGTAGAGCATGCTCCTACTCAGCCCTTCCCAGTCTGGCTTTGCACAAGGTATACTGGGCAGTTTCACTTTGTTGCAGTGGTGGCATCTGTACCTTGGCACCCTGAAAGGCTCTTGTGGCACCCTGGTTGAGAACCACCGGAATAGATAGTGGAGTATTTAAAAGATTGATCCGTTGCACACTTGTAGTGAAATCTCTTCTGTTTATCTTTTTGTTGTTTATGTTTTTGCCCCTCCCACGTGTGTCTGTGACACCCGTGCTGCCATTTCTCACTGCAGACATGATGTACAGTGCTGTGACTTGTTCTAGGATGGTTTACCCAATACATACTATGCTAGTGGGGGGAAAAAAAAGAGGTGGTCTAAGAGAAAGAAAGTTATCATTTATATTGTAAATATAGCAAAAAGATCTTTAAAATTAGCATTTGGGCTTTGTAATTTGTGTCCTTTTCACACATCAGGTTTGACCTTGCGTGATGTTTTTCTGGTTATGTTAAATAGTAAAACAGAGCTGACAAATAAATCCCAGGAAAATTAATCTCACTTCATTTGTAGAATTGACAGTTTTATTAGACATTTCATACTGTATCAAGATAATCAAGAGGTTATTAGAGTAGACAACTGTTGTGCTTTAGCCAGTGACCTGTTTCCAATCAAATGGAGGATTGTTTAAAAGAACATTATTAGTTCTTAATTGTATCAAAAGTGAAAGAAAAATTAAAGTGTTGTGATGAAGTATTGTAAGAATTGTGTTACTGATTTAGCGATATAGACAAAAACATGCTTTAGCAGGTGTTCTTCCTGCTATCGGGCTGAGGAACCTAGAATTAGAAAGGTAAGCAATTGTTACCATGTCTTTGTATCAAATTTCTTACCACGGTGGCTTCAGGGTTTTACATGACAAACATCTGCATTTTCACATTCCAGACCTTGAGATCAAACATATAAATGTTTTGGATTCTCCTGCTTTTTTCTTTTGTGTTTTGTATAATAGAAATCCCCCCATGGCTCAACTTTGTGTGTTAACCATTCTGAGCTAGCAAACCTTTATACCAGTGGTGCTTGCCCCATCCAGCCCTGTGGGCCAGATTACATGTGCAGGGTCAATCTGCAGGCCTGATCAAGCATGTGTCAGTTTTTGAGTGTGATCTAGCACTCAAATGCAATCCCACATACTAGATTCACCCACAGCCTGACCCTACTCACTGGATCCAGCCATGGAGCAATCACATGCTGGAGCGATCTGGCACATTAGGCCATGTCATCCAGACCACAGGCATCCCCAGGGGTCCTTCTTGCAGGCTGGAGGTTGAACATTACTACTCTGTGCAATTAAGAATAGTGAGTTGTAATTTCACACCTGTATTATTCTAAAATTATTTTACTTTTATATTTAATTACTGTAGTTTTTCATTTGTAGCTTTATGTCCTCAATTTATTTGTATTACATACTTAGATCATGTACCCACCATTACTAGTCTCTAACTTTTTATTTACTGCTTTTAAGAAGTGATTTACAAAAAAGGTTGGCACAATATCCTCATTTGACTACCAAAATGGTAAACTTGATGTATAAGGTGATGGAAGTGACTTGTTTGAGCTCACCCAAGAAACTAATAGAGTTGGGCTTTGAGATATTTGGAGTGTCCCTTTCCAGTGCTCTGTTTAGTAGATCACTGTCTCCTGTACAACACATTAAACATTATTCTACTATATTAAACAGATGATTTCTATGTGGGTAAGCTTTATGATTCACATATGTAAGAGCTGAGTTTCATAGTCCCTTTATATTTTTTTCAATTGATTGATTGATTTTGAATGCTTTTATTGCATTGTGCCTTTACCAAGTTCAGTCATTCTTTTGGAAAGAGTTATGAAACCTGTACAAAAGTTGCTACAGGTGGTTTATCCTGAACAGTTTATTTCTGTGAATTCATAGATCCACTTTGAAAGAGAAAATAGATTAACTGTGCAGGTATAAAAAATAACTATTTTACAAAGCTAGGTAGAAAATGTCTGTAATGATGTCTTATTCTATACAGTTTTGTCTAGTGTTGGGCTAGAGACTTCAAGAACATAAAATTAAAAAAAAAGAAGGTAATATAACAAGTTGCTAATATAATTTGCATCTTCAAAAGCCTTTTAAATTGCTTGAGGCCAAGAAATACAGAAATAAGGGTTTTTTAAATAAAGTACAGCTAAAAAGCTTGAAATAATGCAAATGAACAAAATACAGCTTTTTCATATTTCTACTTTATTTTCTAAATACTGTTTTGAACAGTTTTATGCATTTCTTGACCTTGGCTGATGTTGTGGATGACTGTAATTAAGGATGGTAGGAGACTATTTTTTTCTCTCTTTCTTGCAGTACACTGCATATAGTATGATTAAAAACTCTTTGTTAATCAGACTGCAATAAAGTGATTTCATAGACTTTAGGGCTGGAAGGGACCTTGCAAGATCATCAGGTCCAGCCTCCTGCCCAAGGGGCAGGGGGTCAGCTAGGGCCAAAGGATCCCAGTAAGATAGGCATTCAAATGTTTCTTGAAAGTGTCCAGAGAAGGTGGTTGCAGCACCTCTGTGGGGAGTCTATTCTGGGTCTTAGGGCTTGGAATGATAAGGCACTTTGCTGAAGGCAACAGTATTGCAGATTGACATCTCCCCTTTCCCATGTCCAGTTAAAGATGGCTTTTGCATTCTTGATTTATTGTACAGGTTAGGTGAGATTCACAAAGGAATCTTGATCCCTAAAATTCTGTTTAGGCATAATTTAGGCATCTGAGTCCAAGAGTGCTTCAGAGAAATCTGCCTAACTGCTTTAAGCCCTTGGGACCTCCTAAGATCCCAAGTTTTCACTAGAAAACATGCTTAGGTGCCTAAAACACAGCTACTGTTCATACCCAGAGGTGCTGCATTTTGGATCACTGTTATGGTTCTTTGGGATTCATAGACTTGTCATCCCTGCTCCTAAGTACCCTGAGACCTGATCTAATAGGAGTGCCAAGAGTATGCTGAACATCACTGTGCACCATTGAGTTCAGCATCCATAGCTACTTTTGTACAAAACTATGGTTGGTGAATGAGGTGCTGGTGGTCCCATTTTATGCAGTAGCTTCACGGTTAGAGCCCAGGAAGTGTGGGATCTGAATTCAGTGCTCTTGTCAGTCTAAGAGTGTTCAAATCCACATATACCATTTTGCAAAAGTACCCTAACTCCCTATCTGAAGGCAAAGCTAGGTTGAGCCTGCTTGCTACTTCTTTTGAAGTATGGTGAAGAATGCAAAATTAATGGGGCCCAAGAGACAATAAGCATGACTTTATAATCCAGTGATGTGGGCAGTTCTCTAGGTTTAGGACCCTGCTATTGAGAATATTTATGCATTTTATCCAGTGACTCTGCAATGCAAAATCCATGTACTGTCACTAAAGGAAGGACCAGAAGCCAGGATTGTTCCCTCCCAAGAAACTGCCTGCATCTCAGGGTTACACTTAGATTCCCTGTTGCTTTCTCTCTGGTTCCATGAAATTTCCTTTATTTCTACCTCTGTCCTAGCTTCAACAGTGGGTTGGAAAATGCCCTTAGTTCATCCTAGCTTACAGCATAGTGATTAAGGCACTGTCTTTGACCGAGTAAAGATGGGACTAGAACCCAGGTCTTCCACTTCCTGGACAAGTGCTGTAAGCCATATTGTTTTAGAGGAAAAAGCAACCAGGGCTCATGGTAGAGGTGATATCTTTTATTAGACTAATAAGATTCATAGATTCATAGATGTTAGGGTCGGAAGGGACCTCAATAGATCGTCAAGTCCGACCCCCTGCATAGACAGGAAAGTGCTGGGTTCAGATGACTCCAGCCAGATGCCCATCCAACCTCCTCTTGAAGACCCCTAGGGTAGGGGAGAGCACCACCTCCCTTTGGAGTCCATTCCAGACCTTGGCCACTCTAACTGTGAAGAAGTTCCTCCTAATGTCCAGTCTAAATCTGCTCTCTGCTAGCTTATGGCCATTATTTCTTGTGACCCCCGGGGCGCCTTGGTGAGTAGAGCCTCACCAATTCCCTTCT